GAATGCATGCATCTCAGACATGCCAGAATGCATGCATCACCGACATGCCAGAATGCATGCATCACCGACATGCCAGAATGCATGCATCACCGACATGCCAGAATGCATGCATCACCGACATGCCAGAATGCATGCATCACCGACATGCCAGAATGCATGCATCACCGACATGCCAGAATGCATGCATCACAGACATGCCAGAATGCATGCATCACCGACATGCCAGAATGCATGCATCACCGACATGCCAGAATGCATGCATCACAGACATGCCAGAATGCATGCATCACAGACATGCCATAATGCATGCATCACCGACATGCCAGAATGCATGCATCACAGATATGCCAGAAAGCATGCACCACAGACATGCCAGAATGCATGCATCACTGACATGCCAGAATGCATGCATCACAGACATGCCAGAATGCATGCATCACCGACATTCCAGAATGCATGCATCACCAACATGCCAGAATGCATGCATCACAGACATGCCAGAATGCATGCATCACCGACATGCCAGAATGCATGCATCACCGACATGCCAGAATGCATGCATCACCGACATGCCAGAATGCATGCATCACAGACATGCCAGAATGCATGCATCACAGACATGCCATAATGCATGCATCACCGACATGCCAGAATGCATGCATCAGAGACATGCCAGAAAGCATGCACCACAGACATGCCAGAATGCATGCATCACTGACATGCCAGAATGCATGCATCACAGACATGCCAGAATGCATGCATCACCGACATTCCAGAATGCATGCATCACCAACATGCCAGACTGCATGCATCACAGACATGCCAGAATGCATGCATCACCGACATGCCAGAATGCATGCATCACCGACATGCCAGAATGCATGCATCACCGACATGCCAGAATGCATGCATCACCGACATGCCAGAATGCATGCATCACCGACATGCCAGAATGCATGCATCACCGACATGCCAGAATGCATGCATCACCGACATGCCAGAATGCATGCATCACCGACATGCCAGAATGCATGCATCACCGACATGCCAGAATGCATGCATCACCGACATGCCAGAATGCATGCATCACCGACATGCCAGAATGCATGCATCACCGACATGCCAGAATCCATGCATCACCGACATGCCAGAATGCATGCATCACCGACATGCCAGAATGCATGCATCACCGACATGCCTGAATGCATGCATCTCCGACATGCCAGAATGCATGCATCACCGACATGCCAGAATGCATGCATCACCGACATGCCAGAATGCATGCATCACCGACATGCCAGAATGCATGCATCACCGACATGCCAGAATGCATGCATCACCGACATGCCAGAATGCATGCATCACCGACATGCCAGAATGCATGCATCACCAACATGCCATAATGCATGCATCACCAACATGCCAGAATGCATGCATCACAGACATGCCAGAATGCATGCATCACCGACATGCCAGAAAGCATGCACCACAGACATGCCTGAATGCATGCATCACAGACATGCCAGAATGCATGCATCACCGACATTCCAGAATGCATGCATCACCAACATGCCATAATGCATGCATCACAGACATGCCAGAATGCATGCATCACCGACATGCCAGAATGCATGCATCACCGACATGGCAGAATGCATGCATCACCGACATGCCAGAATGCATGCATCACCGACATGCCAGAATGCATGCATCACCGACATGCCAGAATGCATGCATCACCGACATGCCAGAATGCATGCATCACAGACATGCCAGAATGCATGCATCACCGACATGCCAGAATGCATGCATCACAGACATGCCAGAAAGCATGCACCACAGACATGCCAGAATGCATGCATCACAGACATGCCAGAATGCATGCATCACCGACATTCCAGAATGCATGCATCACCAACATGCCATAATGCATGCATCACAGACATGCCAGAATGCATGCATCACCGACATGCCAGAATGCATGCATCACCGACATGCCAAAATGCATGCATCACCGACATGCCAGAATGCATGCATCACCGACATGCCAGAATGCATGCATCACCGACATGCCAGAATGCATGCATCACCGACATGCCAGAATCCATGCATCACCGACATGCCAGAATGCATGCATCACCGACATGCCAGAATGCATGCATCACCGACATGCCTGAATGCATGCATCTCCGACATGCCAGAATGCATGCATCACCGACATGCCAGAATGCATGCATCACCGACATGCCAGAATGCATGCATCACCGACATGCCAGAATGCATGCATCACCGACATGCCAGAATGCATGCATCACCGACATGCCAGAATGCATGCATCACCGACATGCCAGAATGCATGCATCACCGACATGCCTGAATGCATGCATCTCCGACATGCCAGAATGCATGCATCACCGACATGCCAGAATGCATGCATCACCGACATGCCAGAATGCATGCATCACCGACATGCCAGAATTCATGCATCACCGACATGCCAGAATGCATGCATCACAGACATGCCAGAAAGCATGCATCACAGACATGCCAGAATGCATGCATCACTGACATGCCAGAATGCATGCATCACAGACATGCCAGAATGCATGCATCACCGACATTCTAGAATGCATGCATCACCGACATTCCAGAATGCATGCATCACAGACATGCCAGAATGCATGCATCTCAGACATGCCAGAATGCATGCATCACCGACATGCCAGAATGCATGCATCACCGACATGCCAGAATGCATGCATCACCGACATGCCAGAATGCATGCATCACCGACATGCCAGAATGCATGCATCACCGACATGCCAGAATGCATGCATCACCAACATGCCATAATGCATGCATCACCAACATGCCAGAATGCATGCATCACAGACATGCCAGAATGCATGCATCACCGACATGCCAGAAAGCATGCACCACAGACATGCCTGAATGCATGCATCACAGACATGCCAGAATGCATGCATCACCGACATTCCAGAATGCATGCATCACCAACATGCCATAATGCATGCATCACAGACATGCCAGAATGCATGCATCACCGACATGCCAGAATGCATGCATCACCGACATGCCAGAATGCATGCATCACCGACATGCCAGAATGCATGCATCACCGACATGCCAGAATGCATGCATCACCGACATGCCAGAATGCATGCATCACCGACATGCCAGAATGCATGCATCACAGACATGCCAGAATGCATGCATCACCGACATGCCAGAATGCATGCATCACAGACATGCCAGAAAGCATGCACCACAGACATGCCTGAATGCATGCATCACAGACATGCCAGAATGCATGCATCACCGACATTCCAGAATGCATGCATCACCAACATGCCATAATGCATGCATCACAGACATGCCAGAATGCATGCATCACCGACATGCCAGAATGCATGCATCACCGACATGGCAGAATGCATGCATCACCGACATGCCAGAATGCATGCATCACCGACATGCCAGAATGCATGCATCACCGACATGGCAGAATGCATGCATCACCGACATGCCAGAATGCATGCATCACAGACATGCCAGAATGCATGCATCACCGACATGCCAGAATGCATGCATCACCGACATGCCAGAATGCATGCATCACCGACATGCCAAAATGCATGCATCACCGACATGCCAGAATGCATGCATCACCGACATGCCAGAATGCATGCATCACCGACATGCCAGAATGCATGCATCACCGACATGCCAGAATATATGCATCACCGACATGCCAGTTTCATGTTCTTTTCAATCTTACCATGTCGTTCAATCTGCTAAATTTGTCTTATCCAATTGTGAAGCACGATCTACTTTGTCTTAGTCCCTGTTAACTCGCTCATTCACACCAAGGCACGAATACTAAAAGTAAGGCGGCACGCCCCACTTTTCCTTCCATCCACCAGTTCTCCATCTCACCCACGACGTGGGAGCGTGGTATGGGCCAACAGCAGCCTGTGTGGCAGAGTATCAGCTGGCCCGTGAGGGCAGCCAGCTCGGATGCATGGCATGGCAGCATGGCATGGCAGCATGGCAGCATGTCAGCATTGCATGGCAGCATGGCATGGCATCATGGCAGCATGCAACATGGCATGGCAGCATGGCAGCATGACAGCATGACAGCATGACATGGCAGCATGGCAACATGGCTGCATGGCAGCATGACAGCATGGCAGTAGGCCGCAGCATGGCAGCAGGTGAAGCAGTGTGCAGCAGTGTGCAGCAGTGCTACAACTGTGGTCCCATCTCCACTCGTGCAAGATGGCTCCTGTTAATCTGCCAGATGTGCACATGTCATGCATTCCAACACTGTCAAGTCAAAGGTGCCTTCGAGCATACTACCGTAGAAACGTGATTATTGTATGGCATTTACCAATGCATTTGAGCAATGCTTTTTCATGTTTAATCCTGAATAGATTTTCCCTTCAGGGCTCTCATTCCATCATATTTTGATGCCCGATGACCCTTACCCACTACTTTTTGTTTTCTCCATTCAACTATTTGTACACTCAACAGAGTAAACTTGGTAACATGTAAGGGGTTTGAGATTCTAACGCAGTGCAAATGAGCCAGTTCTTGATCACCCTGAACTGGTTTGAGCAAGGACACTGTACGGCCTCACCTCTAAACAAAGTTGGAGGTGGCCATAGCAAACTGTTTTATCAACCAGTCAAGTGGTGAAACACAGTCCAAATTGTGTATCGGGTATCACTCATCGATATCCATCGGGTGAAACACAGTCCAAATTGGTTGACGGGACTCGTGTGGAATTATTGACAGGGCCCCGCAATTCCCGCCAGCGCACTTTCCCCCCAAGTCCAATGCTCTTTCCCCACAAATCCTGCTCCTCCAAACACACCACGGGCTTTTGTAGGTGCACCGTCTATCCTGTCCCATTCAATCTTCTTCGCTTTGCATTCAATCCCTTCAGATCTAGATCTACGTACACCCGTGCCGCCAGCATGGCTCGTAAGCGTAAGGGCCAGTCCCTTAACGACTGCACCAAGGATCTTAACGACATCCCTTACATCCGCTGGATGAACCAGCAGATCGCCAACGGCCGTCATCCGACTGGCTTGTCCGCGCCGCCCGCGCTTGACGGGCAGGGTTCTAGTGCACAGTCGCCCAGCGCGGGCCCCTCACGTGTGCGTCGTCAGCCTGCAAGGACGGCGGCAACTGTGCGGCCCGTCGTGGAGCAAGATGTCGAAGACGATGATGAGGAGTACCGCGGCGACGAGGAGGACGAGCCTAAGGACCTTGGCATGCCGGACGACGATGACGTCGACGATGACGGCGACGATGACGACGCCGACGACGACGCGGAGGAGGAAGCGCAACCTGTTGCACAGCCGCCGAAACGGGGCGCCGCTCGCGCCTCAGGGACGGACAAAGGCAAAGGCAAGGCGGTTGATCCACCGGCACGACAGGAGCCCCGGAAGAAGCGGTCTGCTGCACCAGTCGAAAGGGGCTTATGGTCGGATAAAGAAAGCACTATCTTCGCTGCCGCGCGTTGGTTCATGAAAGACGAGCTCGAGCCGCTCAAGTGGAAGCAGGGGACGCAATACTGGGTCCGCCTTCTCGCGCACATCAAGGAGTCGAATCCGGGTTGGTGCCGGAATGTCAACGCATTGCAAAAGCAGTGCAAAACCTGGTGCTGCTTTGGCGGGAGTACAAGCGTGGTGATGGTGGTTCAGGCAACGACTCTGTGAAGAAACCGCCATGGTGGCCGTATCTGGAGCTGTTCAACAAGGACACCGCCGCTGCCGCACCGCATGCGGTGGATGGCGGCGGCGCCGCTAACGTCAACGTGCCGGCCGGCATGGAGGTCCCAAGTGCCTCTCAGCCAAAGACGTCGACACCGACCTTTACAGGTGAGTTGTGATTCTTAAACCGCATGCGCTTTCCGCTGTCGTTTCATGGATGTTCAACAATGGCAACGCGTATGTGACTTGCAACTAACTGCATAAACAACATGCAACCTTATACGTGCTAATCTACCCTGCAGTTTCTTATGCGTTTCTGTTACAGCACCGCCGCCTCAGCCCACGGGAACACCCAAGCGCGCGCGGGTTCATGAGACGGCTACTATGCAAGCCGCCATGCTTGTCTCTGCGACCATCAAAGATTGTCACAGTGACGCGATGACGCGCATAGAGGGTCTCGTCCGTGAATGGATGGCGCAGGACATGCGCCTTGCACGCGAGCGCATGACTGAATCGGCCCCACCGGATGTGCACCGTGCGACGACGGATTTCAGCCCTCCTCCGCCACGCGGGGAGTCCGCGCCACCTCCCGGAGCCGCCCAGCAGCGCGACGATGTCGGCGACGTCAACACCGTCACACCGGGTGATGACGATGTGGAGATATGGGTGCGCGGCGCCGACGATTAGCGTAAGAATCTTGCAGAGCTTCACCCAGTCTTTTCCGTCTCTCTCACAGAGCCTGCTGTGTAGCGGGAACACAAGGTTCCCACTTGTGCTCCGTGATTGCACCCCGTGTCCACCATGGGTCGCGGTTGCGAGGCAGATTGTACCAGGCCAAGTTCGTGCGCCTAACCTCTGCCATGTCTTCGCACATGTTGTGCAGGATCACACAACACGCGGCCCCGGCAAGGATGTGCCATAACCTGCAGTCATTGCGCCCGCTGAAGATGCGCCATCTCCCTTTGAATGCGCCAATGCACCTCTCCACCGCCATGCGCGTAGCGCTCTGGCAGTAGTTGAAAGTTTGGGCCCAGTCGTCCATTAGATCCTCTCCGCGCGGTGCATGCAGTGAGGTTAGGCAGTATTCTCTGAGCAGGTATGCCGCATCCCCAACAATCTGGTATGGGGTTATGTCCCCGTTGTGTAACCTTTCCAGTAATGCAGAGTCATTGAAAACACGCATGTCGTGCGCGCTGCCGGGATAACCGATGAGGTAATCCCATATTCTCCCTCGAGCATCACACGTGATTTGGAGCTGTACGGCGTAGGCCGACTTTCTTGTCCAGTACTCGGACCGGTGCCCTTCCATCCCTTTCATATGGATGTGTGTCCCGTCTACAGCCCCCACCACTGCAGGTACACCTTTGACTGCGGCAAATTCTCTCGCCATCTCCGGCAGTTCTTCACGTGTGGGGAAGCGCACCTAGGCGCCCTTGAACAAGGCGGGGAACTCGGTGAGGAACACGTCGACAAGCTCGTGGCACAATGTTTTGGAGACGCCGAAGAGGTACGACATGTCGACGAAGGAGATCCCGCTCGCCAGATATTTGATTGGGATGAGCAACGCAGTGTCCATTGTGATCACTGGCCGGTAAACGATCGGCTCTAGATATTGGCGCATCCCTGTATTGATATGCTCAAGGCTGGCGCGGTTGATTCTGAATATGTCCTGGAAGTCGTTCTCCCGCATATGTTGCAGGTCGTCAACCCACAGCGCATGGCGTTGCCGCCGTACTCTGGCTCGGTGACGGCGGTTCTCCCCGGTATCGTCCCCAAGAGTAGAGGACTGCTCGTCGGCGTCTTCGAGCACACCGGCCTCAATCATGCCGACGAAGGACTTGGTAACACTTTCGTAAAAAATGGTGTAGTAGTAGGTGACCCATGCGACGAGTAGGCGTAGGATGAAGGGGATGGCTCTAGGCTCCGCCATTTTGCGTACGTCATGCGTGTGTAGTGGTGGCGGTTGTGCTTTGTTTACTTTATCTAGCCATTCTTTGTGATGTCGTGCTGGATATTGTACGGCTCGTTGTGGCAATTATTGGAGGCGCGGAAAATTACATAACCCTCCGCGACCTCCCCGGACACCACCAAGGTTCTATTGCGGGCCTGGTGGTGTTGGTGCGTGTGACTCGCAAGATGAGTGGGCCACCATATGGTCTGACCAATCAGAGTAGTTCGCATATAATTGTCGCGCGTCTGTGCAGAGTCGCAATACATCGAACGATTGGGACATGCAGCCCCGAGACATTTGAGGGCGACTCGGGCCAAATGTGATTGGGACACTTTCTTTGAGAAAGTGTCCACAGCGGAATGTACCCTAAAGGCTAGAGAAATGTTACCGTATCATTAGCATGAATTCCAGAAACACCACTTTGCATTGCTAAACAAGGTATATGTACAAGCGACCAGAGCAAGGCAAACAAGGTGGCAGGCTCACACCATCATCTCCCATCATCCCTTGTTCCCAGAATCGCAGAGCCTCAGCAGCATTCAAGCCAGCCCAGCCAGGCACGCTGGATTCCCCCATTCCAGAAGCGCCCTGGCCAGCTAAGGCGGGTACAATTGTCACTTCTGGATGCTGGATACACCACCAGGAATCAACTCCCATTCCTCCACACCCCCCATGCCTGCACCCTGAGGGCCCTGCCACACACAGGAAGAAGTACCAAAAGAAACCTCTCCCTGTCACCTGTGACGTATCTCTCCTCCACACAGCCTTAGCTCCCGCTCACCATTGCCCAAGCTGCTGCTGCCATGCAAACTGCTCCGTTACAAAGCACTGCACCACCAGAAGGAAACTGAGACACCGACCACAGCAATCCTGTCCCATGCACCCCAGCAATCCTCATTGCGTGCACCTCATCTCCATCCAGCCTCACTGCATCTCCAAGAACGTGCTGGCCCAGTTCTTACAATCACCTGCCAGATCCAATCCTTCCTCTCCCCAGCGGTACACCGTCGATGCAACCCCTCTCCAGAGATATCATGTCGGCGATCTCTTCTGCCTCGTCCTCAAAAAGTGGGCACGCCATAACCTCCAGGATCCTGAGGCTGGTGACATCATGATATACGTCGTACAAGGACCGCAGTTTGGGGCAGGAGCACACAGTCAGTTCGAGTTTGTACACTTCAGACGGGAACTCATCCAGGCAGGGAAGGCCAAACAGGAGGAGCGATGAAAGGTTTGCACAGTCGCAGACGGACGACATGAAGGCGTTAATGAAAATTCTCTCATGCCTCGCATCCCCAGCTGGGGAGCTGGTTGGCCATCCGAACTCAAGAGTCGTGAGGCTCGTCCTCCAGTTCTGGAGCAGGGATAGCGGCACTCTGGTGACGCTGTTGCAGTGGTTGAAAGAAAACGTTCGAACTTTGGAGAGGCTGGAGAGGGAATCAGGAAGGTGAGTGAGGCTCCTGAGTTGGCACAGCTCCAAATTCTCTAAAGATGACATGCGATCAATGCTTTCTGGAAATTCCCTGAGCGCAGAGCAACGTCTGATGGTAAGGACCCGTAGCGAAGTAAGACGGACGAACGAATCTGGAAGCCTGGAAATGAGGCAGTTGTTCTTCAAGACGCACTCTCGAAGGTTCTGAAGCTGGCCAATGCTGCCAGGAAGATCCTCCAGTTGGTCTGCACATAAGATGAGTTTGACCAGCGAGCTAAGGCCTCCAAAAGACTCGGGCAAATGGCGGAGCTCGTTGCTGCGAATTATCTGCAGCTCGGTCAGCCTGGTGAGAAGGCCAAACGAATCTGGGAGCTCGCTGACAAAAAGGTTGTCGAGCGTCAGCTTCTTCAAGCACCCCAGCTTGCCGAATTTGTTAGGAAAGGAAAAAAAGGTGGTTCTCAGATAGACCTCCCTCAAGGAAGAGAGACCGAAGAATGATTCTGGGAGACCATATGGAGACCCATAGGCCGCCAATGAGAGATGCTGTAAGGCAGTGCAAGCAGTAAAGACTGCACCCAAACCGTCCCAAGTCATATGGCATACTCCTGGTTTCTGAGGTCCAGATGAGTCAACGCGGGACATGCAGATCCGAGGCCTAAGAGAAACGTGCACTCGTCATCGAATTCGCAATCTCTTATTTTTAGAGACGTCAATTTTGTAAACTTCGACAGGTACTTAAGAAGGTCGGTGTCTGCTTCAATCGCGTCATCTTCACTGGAGCGCATTGAGATAGACGTTAAGGTGAGATAAGCGAGGTGACACCATCGTTTGCAGACCAAGATGTGGTCCTAGTCGCTGGGAGACTGCTGGTTTACCAGACGGAGAATGATGCAGAGGAGGTCATCTGATAAACGATCGAACGGCGGCGACGACTCGGAACCACTAAGGCACAGCGATGCTAGGGTTAACGACGATGGGTCTCTTTCCGAAGAAGACATGGCTCACACGACGTTAGGAGAGGGACTAAAGAGCAAGAGCAGAACCTCAGCAGGCGGGAAAGGCGGTCTCGCACGATGACGTGAGGACTGAAAAGGAAAACGAGATCCGACGACTTCCTGCTGGTTGGGTTATGTTTCTCAACTGACCTCTCTCTTGAGGAGTCCCTGGGTTCACAGACGAGTGACTCAAGAGGCTCCTGAAACTCGGCCCGCTCTACTTCGGAAGTAGAATGTCTCTGAACCTCGAAAACAAGATGCATCTAAATCTGACGCCTGACATCATGGTCTGAGGAGAACGGCCTCCAGGACAGTGATTCAGCACGGGAACAAAAAATCTATAACCCGTGCGGTTCGGAAGGTATCCACGTGAACTGGATGACCACTGAAATGGGCTCGCATGGGGAACTACATGATCGAATGTGGTCCACGGTTCAGGGTGGGTGCGACATTTGACTTCTCACATTGACGCGTGCACGCAAATCCACGTCAGCAGCAACGCAGTAGGGACCCATCGCCACTGAGTAATTACGTGGAATGGATGGTACTACATTATTCCCATGGTTCGCTGAGCATCCTACAACCTCGATCTTACCTTTCCTAGCCGCTGCAGCAATCGTGCTAAGCTTGAATGTCTTGGATGCTAGGGCTCAATGGCGAATGCGGCAATGCTGATTCATAGCGAGGCGATCAACGCTCTTGGGAAGGTCGAGACTCGAGGCTGGAATTGGTTTGGAGGATTCGTTACAGACTAACCTTAAAATGGTTAATGTTATAAACAATATTGAGTCGCTTATAGACACATCCTCTGAGGATGGTACCCGTAGATTCACTTGGTGTGAGAGAAGCGATTTTCACAGTTGATCAATATAGACCAGCTTCGACAGCAAATAGGAAAGCCTCTGTGAGCCGATTGGCGTGGAGAGCAAAATGGATTCCATTGCACTATTGAGCCAGATACATGAGAGCAAACGAGAGTGCAGAGCATTCTGATACAATCGCACCCTCTCCTTCACCCTCCATTGCCTCTGCACAGTCGGCACACAAGACACCCAGCGCACGCCTTGCTGACATCTACACGAAGGTGTTGGGGCGGGAGGCCTTGTAGGTGGTCTTGAGGGAGCGCGAGGAGGCGCGCACGGAGCGGTTGGGCAGGGGGAAGCGGATCTTGTCGCCGATGAACTGCAGCGTGTTCACTCGCTTCACCTTGTCGTCCGGCACCTCGGCTGTCTTGATGATCTGGTGGTGAGGGGGGGGGGAGGTGGAGGGGGGAGGAATGAGGAGGAAACATATGAATGGAAACACACTGAAGCGTTGACACAGGTGAGAAAGTCTGCTGCCACGTCAGCTATTCACAACAACCCTCCACCGCATCCCACTCCCACTCCACTGCAATCCACCGCATCCCACCGCACAGCGCCACTGCCCCCAGCACGGACCTGGATGCCGTGGGCGCGGGTGCGGTGGCGCGAGGCCATCTCGTCGTACATCTGGTGCACGGCGCCGTTGAGCGTGGTGTCGCGGTACTCCTTGTACATGTTGTGGTACCCCGTGCGGCTCTGGTACCGCACCCACATGCCGTAGTTCTTCACCACCGTCGGATTCTTCTCAAAGATCTGATTTTTGCAAGGGGAAGAAGGGAGGAAAATAGGGGAAGGGGGGGAAGAAGGAAAGGGGGAAAAAGGGGAGGGGAGGGGGCATGGGGTGGGAAAGGAAGCAGGTGAAGCTTGTGAGGGCGAGAGGTTGAGACAGGGAGACGGTAAAGTAGTTGATGAACTGGTTCCGGTGTCTTTCAGACAAATGCCTCGATGTGTCGTCAGTGCCTGCAGGCTACGACTCGTCATCTTGATAGTTTCGTCATCCTCAAGAGACACAACGTCACGTGGGTCCCAGAGGGGGTCTAAACCAGCCTTCTGCTGAACCAGGAGGATAAGGGTAATGATTAAACAAGGAAAACAGATGGGAAAAAAAAGATTCGGAAAAACTGGAGCAGAAATCTCTCAGACAAATGCCTCGTTGTGTCGTCAGAGCCAGTCGGCTACGATTCGTCATCTTAAAGTTTTTGACATCATCAAGACAGTAAAGCTCCTGGCACAGTACCCCAGAACAGCAGTACACACAATACCTTGGTGAAATGAAGATGAGGATCACAGGGAAACAATCAACGAGCAGAACGAAAACTGGACCGGATATCTTTCAGACAAATGCCTCGTTGTGTCGTCAGAGCCTGTTGGCTTCGACTCGTCATCTTAAAAGTTTTTGACATCATCAAGACAGTAAAGCTCCTGGCACAGTACCCCGAAACAGCAGTACACACAATACCTTGGTGAAATGATGATGAGGATCACAGGGAAACAATCAACGAGCAGAACGAAAACTGGACTGGATATCTCTCAGACAAATGCCTCGTTGTGTCGTCAGAGCCTGTTGGCTACGACTCGTCATCTTAAAGTGTTTGACATCATCAAGACAGTAAAGCTCCTGGCACAGTACCATGAAACAGCGCTTGATACCATACCTTGATAGATTGAATGATGATGAGGGTCACGGATCAACAATGAATGATCAGAACGAGAACAAGACCGGATATCTTTCAGACAAATGCCTCGTTGTGTCGTCAGAGCCTATCGGCTACGACTCGTCATCTTAAAAGTTTTTGACATCATCAAGACAGCCGTGAACCTTTTCCGTTCGAAGTAGTGGTGCTCGGGAATGGCAGGATGGAGAAACAACCAGAAAAAAATGGTTAATCGGCGGGCCGCGGCCGCAAATAGAGTCGGTCGGTGTCTTTCAGACAAATGCCTCGTTTTTGTCGTCAGAGCCAATCGGCTACGACTCGTCATCTTGTTAGTGTCGTCATCACCAAGACATCGACTCGACTCGTGCACATGGTGCGTTGCTGTGATACCTGATGGAATACTCGCACAATACCTCGTAAACTGGGAAGATGCATACGAAAAGGAGGAGAGTAAGAGATGGACTGGAGCCATTATTCCTCAAGATCAGATCCGATGTCATTCAGACAAATGCCTCGTGTTTGTCGTCAGTGCCTGCAGACTACGACTCGTCATCTTAAAAAGTTTCTGTCATCATCACGACATCGAAGCTTCTGTACCGTACCTTGGAGAAAAAAACCAGGTTTTGATAAGTACGAGAGGTACAAGGTTCGAACTTGTAGTTGGATATATACGAGAACGAAGGAATACGGACGAAAAATAGGAATAAGATAGGACCGGGTATCTCTCAGACAAATGCCTCGTGTTTGTCGTCTCTGCTCGTGAGCTACGACTCGTCATCTTAATCGTGTCGTCATCATCAAGACACCAGTCGAACCACAGGACACGTTACTTGGATTTGGGATAAAACGGAACAAGGACGGCCGACTTGACGCACACACGGGTATTTAGATTGATAAAGCTGGAGCGAGCTTCTTCCAGACAAATGCCTCGCGTTTCTCGTACCTGCCTGTCGGCTACAACTCGTCAACTGCTCATTTTCGTCATCAAGACGCCCACCTACAGTGAGTCTCCGTAAATAAGCGACGATGTATCGCAGCGGCTACGGCTCATCTCTCGTTAACCTACTATATCAATTGCGGACCGACGGCAAAATCCTAAATTCTTGCACCGCACTAACCCGAATTCACACTGACGCGGACAGATCGATGGCTCCGATTGGCCGGTAGAGAATCTTTCAGACAAATGCCTCGAATGGTCTTCACGGCCTGACGGCTCCGACTCGTCATCTTGATTGGTTCGTCATCCCAAAGATACTACCACTCAGTCACGATCCCTCTTTCTAACGGCTACGACGCCGCTGGTCTCACACAGGCTGTTTCTGAAAGCCAGGGTTGCTAAACCCTAAAAGCTCAGATGGCTGACTGTCTCTGCTTTTATCCGTGCCGTCGAGGTTCGAAGGCATTCAACACTGCTGCGCAGGCGCGGGTGTAGTTAAATTAAGCCACACTCGGTAATACCTCAAAAGCCAACTCCACTCCACTCCATGCTCCAAGCCGTTGAATCTCCATCAACCGGCCTCACGCTCTCGCTCGCCCTAGTCGGAACTGTGTGCTGCTAACGCCTTGCGTGGCAACCAGGCATTCAAACTAGACACTCGGGGCATATCCTGACGGCGACAACGCCGCGAAACCCTAATGCGAAACACACAGCCAAATCCATGACCATGATCATTACCAGTCACCTGCTGGAATGTTGGACCTGAAACAAAGCAGTATCCATGGAATGACTGGACTGGACCCCTGTACTAGCGCGGTCAACCCCCAATAATCGTTGAATATACCTCGTTGATCTACAACTCACCTCGTTGATCGCTAGGACTTGACCGTGAGCCTTCTTCACTCTACGCAGCTGACTCAAGAAGTACCTGCGGAGGAGGAAGGAATGGGGAGTGGGTAGGGGGGTAGTGAATGACAGATGAAACGGGACGCCCACGACACAATCAGGAATTTGGCAGCTTGAAATAGTTCCGAACAAAGAGCACGAAATGTGGAATAGCTACTTCAGCAGAAAGGGAAGTCCCAAAGCTGTCTCAAAAGAGATCGCGATACAATCTACACGTGCTAAGCCCTCGACCGTTTTAGACACGGATCAAGCCACGGTCCCACCGACGACAGGAGCTACGCGGAATCATGGGCTGAGTCGCGAGCCGATCTGAACATAAAACGAAGGACTTAACTAGCGCCGTTGCTAGAGGGATCGATCCGTTGTAGAGTACCAACCAATTGTACTGCAACACGGTAAGACACCCCTAATCCTGACGCGCGACGCTGCTCCTTTCCACCCTCGCATCCAGCCCCCATGCTCCAAAACCACGATCGAATAGCCTTCTCCGTCTCCGTCTCCGTTTCCGTCTCCGTCCCCAAACTCCAATAGACGTTTTACGCTCGAGCCTAGACGCAAGCGAATCAGCTCCGATTCCAGTCAGTCCTAGAGCGCCGCCCCCTCCAATCTGCCAGCTGGAAAATCGACTGCACCAGTACTTCGCGCACCATCTCCGCACTAATTGATAACCTCGACTGCGAGGTTATCGCGCACCGATAACCTCCTCCGCCTCCGCCTCCGCTTCCGTCTCAACACTTCGCATTGGGCTATCCGCGTTATAGGCCCCAACCAGAAACTGTTCTGTCCGCGGTATAGTGCTCACCAGAACTTGCTCTTGGCGCGCACTTGGTCGATGGCCCAGAGCTTCATGCGGTAGATCTTGGGCGTAGGGTCGTTGGGGCTCGGGTTCATGCGCCCCACCACATGGTACTGGTGGAACTGCGCGCGCGGCACGGCGGGGCATTAGGGGCAGGGGGGTCAGGGCGGAAGCAGGGGCGAGCAGGAGAAGGAAAGTGGTGGGGAGGTAAGGAGGGGAGGGGGAGAGGGGGAGAGAGTTGGGGCGGCATGGGGGAGGATGGATTATCAGGACGGGTGGAATTCGGCGACGCGATGTCGATTGTGCTGGGGGGAAGTCGCGGGGGAACGACGCGGAACGGCATTATTGCGGCTCCTTCGAAGGCCCACGACACACTATCGCGCAAAGCGACGGCAACGCAAGCAGGCCGACTGCGAACGCGAACGACGCAAACCCAGGTGCCTCGAACTTCTGAAACGGTGTCCACTAAGCATCTAAGAGAAGGAAGATGGAAGGGGAACGCCTAGGCGTTTTTTTGCTTCTTCTTTCAGCAAGTGGCGGGAAGTGGGGGGTGCTAACGAGAGAAAGCTACAATCGCTGGGAAAGTTAAATCCGACCGTCAGCCATCTAGAGCGCAGCGCGACGGGAGGAGGCGACGCGTACGAAGGTACTATTAGGTTAGGATACGCACCCGGTACTTCACCATGGTTGGAAGGGGGGTCTGTTCAGTTAGGAGAGGGAGGAGAGGGAGGAGAAAAGGAATGGAAGCTAGGTGAAGGGAGAAACTTGATGGGCTCGACCGAGCAGGTGTAGTGGCAGGCAAGGTGGGACGGGGCAGCAGAAGGGGATGAAGTGAGGAGAGCTTGCAGTGGGAGGCAAGGCAAGTTGAGGCGGAGAGGAAGTGAGGTTGGGGAGGGAGGGGAAGCAGGGGAAGGGAGGAGATTGGAGATTGCCGGGGGGGGGAAAGTGGGCGAGGGGAAGTTTTGGTGCTGGCGGAAGTGGTGGAGTGAAGCAGAAAGAATGAGGGCGGAGCGGGGAAGAATTAGGGTTGTGGCGGGAGGAGATTGGCTGGGGTGGGGTGGGTGTAGGTCCAAGTGTTTGCTGAGGGGGGGAAACTGCAATGACGCTTTTGGGATTCGCTCATGCCCTGCCGAGGGGTCAACCTTTCAACTTGATATCTCGTACCTGTTTTGTTTGAAGCTGCGCGGTTTATATTTTGAGCTGCAATGTAGTAACGAGTCATTCTGTTCAAGCCCAATTGTTGCTGAGGCTTGGTTGTCAGAACTGAGCATGCCAGGCGGCACGTGCTGCCTACCCACTGAGGAGCTCCTAAATATTCGAACGACAACCACAGACGTCGATGCCTCGTCCACGCGCTCAGTCGAAGAAAGTGTTTTCAACAAAGCCTCGCTGCCCGGTCGCGGCGCGTCGCAGCGCCACAGCGCGGAACCTCTTCGTTTTTCTCTTCGTTTCGGCTCTGGTGGGATTAGTGATTTTCGCTCAACGCCGCATTTTGAGTGAAGTGCCGACACGAGCACAAGAGCTCCCGTTAAAGTCACGTCTCTCAACCGATACTGCACCGAGGTCTGTAGATTCCTCATCGGTGAAATCGAACAGCCTCCAGCCAGGCAGCGACGATCTCAGCAGCTCTTCCTCTTCCCTCCAACCGCATTCCGCCCATTATCATCCCCTCCATCTCCGGAACCTCTTACCCGCAGATTTTTTCGCTCCTCGCGTCCCGCGTACCGTTTATCCGCGATCTGCCGAACCGTACTTGCCGCTTTCTGAGGCCAATCCTGAAAATGACGCCACCGCAGCCAGCCTTGGTGGGCAGAAAAATCGCGCGCGCAAGCACCGCCGCCGCCGCCGACGACGCATTGCCGGCGGGCGCAAAAGCGGGCTGTGCATCGCGATCGCGTCTTCCCCGCGCCCGGACCCGCGGATGATCCGCCCGCCGTGGTTCACCGTCACGAACCTGCTCAAGGCGCTCGACGCCAGGCGCGCGGGGGCGCGGCCGCGCGGGACGGGGAAGTCGCGCGCACTGGCGGAGAGGGGCGCACTGGCGGAGAGGGGCGCGGGGCTGTTCGACCGCGCCATGCGCGTTGTAGTGTACAGCGGGGGATGCCACGTGCGGGATGTGCGGAAGATGGCGGAACAAGTGGCGGAGGGAGTGGAGGAAGGAAAGGGGGAGGGAAAGGCGGGGAAGGATGGACACGGCAGTGAGTCTGTGAGTGAGCTTGATCAGAATAAACGCTTAGGGGAAGAGAAAGGTGCATCCTCTTCCTCCTCCTCCTCCTCCTCCGCCGCCTCCTCCCCCCCTCGCTTCCACATCCCAGCCTCCTACGACCTCGCTGCGCACCGCCTCACCCGCGCCACCAACACCTCCCTCGCCTCCACGCGCGCGCTCGTCGCCACACTCGCCACCGCCGCGCGCCTCAACCCCCTCGCCGACCCCCACACCGCCGCCATCCGCGCCACCGCGGAAGCCCTCTCCTTCCCCATTGACACCCTCCCTGCACACCCCGCCGTGTGCGCCCTCCTGGACGACCCGGTGGCGCTACTTAACAAAGTGCCGGCGGGCGTGGTGGAGAGCGAGGGGTGGGAGCGGTGGCGGTGGCATGTGAAGCTGGCAATGGACACGGTGCACGTGGTAAGGCAGTGCGTGGGCACGGGCGCACGCATGGTGCTGCTGCTGCAGGATGACGTGGTGCCAGCCTGGCAGTGGGACGTGGGGCTGGAGAGGTTCGTTGCTGTGGACCTGCCACGATTGGTGGGCGCACGGGGAAAAGAAGGGGAGCACGAGAGCAAGAGCGAAATGTTCGGAAGAGCTGAGAGTGACAACGAGGACCGTAGCTCGCACTCCAGGTATCCCGCGTGGGACGTGCTGTCGTTGTACTACCCACAGACGTACGGGTGGCAGCTGGCCCACGGGGCGGAGTACCCCGTGCCGTGCTGCGCGCAGGCGCTGCTGCTGAACGCGTCCACCGTGGACGGGCTGCTGGAGCACGTGGAGGCGGGGCTCATGCGCGCCCCCCTCGACCTCCTCATCCATGAGTTCCTCCTCTCTGGTGCTTCCCGGGAGAACGGTGGTGATGGGAGTGGAGGCGGTGGTAATGGTGGTCGCTTGGGTGATAATGAGGGTGGTAGTGCTGGTGAAGGGCGGCGTCCGCGGGCGTATGTGCACATCCCATCGCTCTTCCAGCACATTGGGGTGGTGAGGACGAATGTGCTCAAGGGGAATCAGGGCCACAGCGACAAGCGGTTCCGACCGGACTATGTGGAGGAGTATAGGAGTGTGGAGGAGGTGAGGGATGAGTTGCGGAGGAAGGAGGAGATGGAAAAGGAGGAGCGTGAGTTGATCAGAAAAAGGGCTGCTAGGATACGGAAGTACCATGCGCAGCCAACAGGTGGAAAGGTGGCTGTTGGTGCTACGATATAGGTGGTGCTCTGGGGGAACTAGAGAGTGAAGGGAGTTGGTGAAAAATTGGCGTGGCGGAGGTTGATTTCTCAATGTGGATACGCCAGCCAGTCCATATGGAACTTCCAAAAGCGAAACAATAACTGTTCAGCTCATACTTAGGGCGTGTAACTTTTTCCGTTTTAGGCAAATGTCCGGACGGAGCCCCAAAACCGTCCGAACGGAGCTCCGTCCGGACGGATGGGGATGTGGTTCGGACGATGAAGCGTCCGTACCACAATTGTGACACTTTTTTGCAGTTTCGAAATTTAAGTTTTGAGCGACACAGTAACGCGCATAACCTCCCTCGCCAGCACATCGCCCAGCTCGCAAGCATGCAGTTTGGGCTCGGTAATGTTTGAGGTTTCCAACTACCCACTTCGTCCTCTTGCTCGCGTTACTGTGAGTACAACACACAAACTGAAAGTTGGGAGTGGGAAATCGAGTTGCCAAAATTGTGCCTCGCGCGCCAATGAGGTTGCAGGAGTTCCGGACGGTCCGAAATGCTGTCCGGACGGTCTCAGCAGCGTAGAACGGACGATGAACTGACAGAAAAGTGTCAGATTTTGTACGGACCATCGCGACGTCGCGAGGGGCCTTGCGAATTCTTTCACGAATCCTGGCGAATGGTGTAACCCTACAAAAGTCCGGACGGGGCTTCCGTCCGGACGATGAAAAGTAAAAAAGTTACACGCCCTTAGGTCAACATCGTCCATCCCCTTTGCTTTGAAGACTTCACGATTTGGGCTCCCATTGGCATTATTGCAAGTTTGCATAAATCTCGTTGGGATGTAGTTCACATAATGAATGCAGTTGGAGTGTAGCTTACGGAAGTATCGAAGAATATCCGTTGGACCTTCACCCCCTTCTTCAAAGTCAAAGTTGCAGAAGCGGGTACGACGCATGCACGACGGTCTAGGGTTTCGCCAGCCGTCGCTTGTACGGCACTCAAGCGTCGCCCGCAATCACACGCCACATGTAACGTGTTACGTGAACCCAGAGATCGTCTAGGCAAGGGAAAAGGAAGGGATGCAGCGCGAATGGCCGAAGCTGTGCGAGTCAGAGTTAGCTTCTTGTTGTGTGCTCCGATATAGCCCACGAGTCTTGAGCTGCGCCACAGTTGAGTGCACCAGAGAAAGGGGCTTGGTTTGGATTCAGTCCGTCCCTTCCTCACTGTCCTTGTGTGGCCGTCCGTCACCAGTATTTGACTGACCTAGTTGCGACGAGCCAGGGTGATTGACGATTCTGCGGGACTCTCGAATCTCGAGTCCGACCCGCAGACCTAGTTGCTAGAAGTGAACCAGCGCCAGATTTCGCCAGCGATATTAGTGACTGCGACGGAATAAGGCCTAGAAATCTGACGCTTGACATACTTTTTGCTGCGGAATAAGGCTAGATCCTGGTTTTGCAGAGTACCACAGTGCTTTAGAGGAATACGGCAAGCGCAAATAAGCGACCCATTTTTTTTTTTTTTGCTTCGCTCCGTTTAGCGTTCCTTGCAGGAGTATTTCCAGTTTCACACCAGACCGCTTCCAGCTTGTATATCGGGATTTCGTTATAAGAAGCGGCGTTCATCCCTATAAAGTTTTATTTTCTTCGTTTTCCGGCTAATCAGAATGTCGGACAGCGAGGAGGATTACTACCAGGACTCGGAGGAGGAGGAGCAGGTGGACGACTCGGACGACGACGAGGACTATGGCTTTGATGATCCTGACGTCGACGACGACGACCCCGTGCTGCGACCCAGACAGGTGCGACTAAGGCTGCGACTCAGACAGGTGCGGCTAGGGACAATTTAGGAGACCCTTGAGTCGACTCGTCACGACGTCGACGACGACGATCTCGTGCTGCGACCCAGACAGGTGCGGCTACGGCCTGTTTAATGTGCTCGACAAGGAGAATTTCGAGAGTCGCTTTTGAGACTTCTCAAAGGGGACGATTCGGACGATTCGGACGACGAGGATTATGGCTTCGACATCCCGACGTCGATGACGACGATCCCGTGCTGCGACCTAGACAGGTGGGGCTAGGGTTAAATTAAGTTGCTTCAATGGACGAATTCCGATTCTGGTGGCCAGGCGTTGATGTGCTCTGGAGCCCCTCGCCTTGCTCGTTATTCGTGAAATTAGAAAGTTGTGGTTATCAATATCGACGTGCCTACTCGTTCACAGCCACCACCTCGTTGACGCATACGTGAACGGCAGGCCATTTGTTCTCTTCGTCTTCTTTATTGTCTTCCCATTTTTCATCATATGCGAATTCGAACTTTCCAATACACGGAGCAGGTGCGGTACAGGATTCTATCGGAGAAGGACATTCTGCAGCGACAGCAGGAGGCGACCGGCGACGTGGCGACGGTGCTCTCCATCCCCATGGACGACGCCGCCATCCTGCTGCGCCACTTCAAATGGTCAGTCCCTTTAAATGGTCAGTCACTCACTTGATTGAAATGGTCAGTCAGTTGATTGGTCTGGTCAGTCGCCTCAATTTGGCAGTCACTTCAAGTGGTAATAGTATGATATGGTCAGTCGCTTAAATTATTGATTATCTGTCACCTGAGTTGTCTTGTCAGTTACTCAAATTGGAAGTCGCTTAAAATGTCAGTTACCTGAAATGTCAGAACCTGGTTATGTCAATCACTTCGTATTAGTCACCCTGTCTCTGGCATTTCAACTAATCAGTCGGGGCGTCAAATGGTCAGTCTCCTTAAGTTGTGAAGCGAATGGTGGTCTCACTGATGGCCATTTGAGATTTGTGGTATCTTACCCTTGCCCCTGTTCGCTTGCCCCCCTGCCCTCTTGACCCGCTTCTGCTTTTCCTGCACGTGCTCCCCCAGGAGCGTGAGTCAGGTGAACGACGAGTGGTTTCAGGACGAGGACCGCGTGAGGAGGACGACTAGTGGGGTGCCTCTAAATCTGTATCTCTAAATCGGTGTTCTGTTGTCGTGTTGCCCTGCTCGTGCCCTCCCAGGAGCGTGAGTCAGGTGAACGACGAGTGGTTTCAGGACGAGGACCGCGTGAGGAAGGCCGTGGGGCTGCCGCGCCCGCACTCCCCCTCCTCCTCCCCCTCCTCCTCCTCCGCCTCCGACCGCCGCCCCGGCAAGGAACCCGAGGTGAGGCGCTGCCGTGCTGTGGTGGGATGGAGGGCGTAAGGGGGCGAGGTGAGCAAGAGGAGGAAACGTGGTGAGTGAGGTAGTGCACTCCCCCTCCTCCTCCTCCGCCTCCTCCGCCTCCAACCGCCGCCCCGGCAAGGAACCCGGGGTGAGGCGCTGCCGTGCTGTGGTGGGTGGGATGGGGTGGAAGGAGTGAGGGGAAGGAGGGGAGGGAGGGGAGGGAGGGGATTGAGGGGAGGGGAGGGGAGGGGAGGAAAGGTGGCAAATGGGTGGAGGAGGCGGAGGAGGAGTAGGGCGATTGTGCGGGTCAGGTAGTGCAGATGTGGTGCGCCTGTGGTCAATGTGGGTTTGTGGCACTCCGTACGGATGTTTATAACCCGCGTGGTGGTGCATGAATGGTGCATGGATGGTGCATGGATGGTGGATGGTTGATGGATGCGTGGTGGATGCTTGGCTGGTGGGTCAATGGCGGATGATGGTGCATAGATTTCTGTTCTCATTCCGCTCATTCCCATCTCACCAGGCGCCGTGCTGTGGGTCACTCTGCTCATCGCTCTCTTATGCCCATGCCACTGTCGATCTCCCTTCTCTGCCTCGTCTGGCCATCTGCTTGTCAAGTTCCATGATCAACCCCTTCCTCATGTCCCCCTTTCTCCTTCCCGGCCCCTCCCTGTCCCTGGCCAGCCGCACCTAGCATGCGGCATCTGCTTTGAGAGCTACCCGCAGGCCGCCATGAAGCCCGCTGAGCTACTGCTTGTTAAAGCCCCTCATTCGACCCGCTTCCCCATGCCTCCCTCCCTCCCCCACCCTCCCCTGTCCCCTGCATCCCCCTGGCCAGCCGCATCTGACGTGCGGCATCTGCTTTGAGAGCTACCCGCAGGCGGCCATGAAGCCTGCAGAGTGCTTCGACCACTTCTTCTGTGACGCCTGCTGGCAAGGTGAGTGGAGTGCATGTGGCAAGGTGAAAGGGGTGGGGCTGGCAAGGTGCGTGGTGCATGGTGCAGCCTGCTAACGAGGTGGGTGAGCCGCCTGCTGGCAAGGTGAGAAGCCTGCGGCCATGAAGCCCGCAGAGTGCTTCGACCACTTCTTCTGTGACGCCTGCTGGCAAGGTACGTGCTGTGTGCTGCTGACGAGGTGCCAGGTGCGTGGTGCTAGCTAGGTGGGGTGCCTGCTGGCAAGGTAAGTGGGGTGCCTGCTGGCAAGGTAAGTGGGGTGCCTGCTGGCAAGGTAAGTGGGGTGCCTGCTGGCAAGGTAAGTGGGGTGCCTGCTGGCAAGGTAAGTGGGGTGCCTGCTGGCAAGGTAAGTGGGGTGCCTGCTGGCAAGGTAAGTGGGGTGCCTGCTGGCAAGGTAAGTGGGGTGCCTGCTGGCAAGGTAAGTGGGGTGCCTGCTGGCAAGGTAAGTGGGGTGCCTGCTGGCAAGGTAAGTGGGGTGCCTGCTGGCAAGGTGAGTGCTGTGTGCTGCTGATGATGTGCGAGGTGCGTGGTGCGTGGTGCTTTCCCTTTTTTTTTCTCTATTGAATTCCCCGCTCTCTGCTCTCTTTCCTTCAACCACGTTCCCCTTCCTCGGCTACCCGTGCTCCCCCTCTCTCTACTACCCCCACTCCCGCCACTGCCCCTCCCCCCCACCTTACCCTTCCCATAGGGTACGCCAAGGCAGCGGTGGCGGACGGGCCGGGGTGTCTGTGCCTGCGCTGCCCGGACCCGTCGTGTGGAGCAGCGGTGGGGGAGAAGCTCGTGCTGGCGTCGCTGCCGGACGCCCTGCGCGCCAAGTACCTCAAGTACCTCCTGCGCTCCTATGTGGATGACAACCGCAAAGTGAGCTGGATGGCGTGTTTTGGCGTCTAGTGGTGCAAAGGGTAGAAGGGTGACTAGGTGCAGTGCTGCAGCCCTGCGTGCCAAGTACCTCAAGTACCTGCTTCGCTCCTACGTGGATGACAAACCGCAATGTGAGTGTGGCGTGAATGGTTGCTTTCAAGACTTTGTTGTGCGGTTGAAGGGGCTCCCAAGGCTACTTGACGCCCTGCGCCAGTACCTCAAGTACCTGCTGCGCTCCTATGTGGACGACAACCACAACGTGAGTGTGATGACTGATTGCTGTCACGTGTCATGTGGGGTTGATCTCAACGGCTTACTCAGGCGTTGTTGTGAGCATGAAAGGGCTGCTAGCGGTGCTATACGGCCTGCCTGCGCGCCAAGTACCTCAAGTACCTGCTGCACTTTTACGTGGATGATAACCACAACATCAGCTGGATGGCCTGTGGGGCTGGACTAGATTGGTTGATTCTGGCTTGTGTTCTCTCCTCACGTCTGTGCTGTTTGCAAGACTAAAACGTGGGCAAGCCATAGCTGCTCCTCAGTCAATGAAAGCCTGAAACAATTCTCTTCTTAAATGGCTGCATCTGGGGTAAATTCAGTTGATGTGCCTTCTCAAAGCTTTGTAACTATCTCGGCTTCAAGTGGTCTCTGGGAGTGCGTCAGTCAGTCAGCAGAGGGTTTTCCCTCTCTTGCTTACAGCTCAACCCACCCCCCCTATGCCCCTCCCTCTTCCCGTCCTTGTTCACTTCCCACATACATCCGGCGTTTGCAGACCAAGTGAAGCGCTGGGGGTGTGAGTATGACTTATTCCCCGCCCTTACCTCTCCTCTTCCCTCTGTCCACCCACATAGGCCAAGTGCTGCCTGGCTCTGGGTTACCAGTTCACCTTATTTCCTTACCCTCCCCTCCTCCCTCTCACTCCCCCTTCACTGTCCACTCTCAGGCCAAGTGGTGCCCCGCACCAGGCTGTGAGTACGCAGTGGAGTATCTACCGGACTCCATCCTTCCCCCTCCCCTCCCCTCCGCACTCCCTTTCCCTCCTCTTCCGCACTGCGTGCAGGCCAAGTGGTGCCCTGCGCCCGGCTGTGAGTACGCGGTGGAGTATCTACCGGACTCAACGCGACTGTGAGCCTTGTTTAATCTCCCTTTCGCTCCCCCCTCTCCTGCCTGTCCATCCACAGGCCAAGTGGTGCCCTGCGCCAGGCTGTGAGTACGCGGTGGAGTATCTACCGGACTCCACACACTATGACGTCATCTGCAAGTGCAGCTTCGCCTTCTGCTGGAATGTCAGTGACCACTTGCCCTGCCGTGCCCTGGCCTGCCCTGCCCTGTGCCTCCTCGCAACTCTTGTCCGCACCGCCTCGCTCGCACCCCTCTTTCCCCACCTTCCCTCTCCTAGTATCCCTCTCCCCATTCTGCTACTCCCTCCCTCCTTCCCCTCGTGCTTCTACATTAGCTACTGACAGACTCCCTAGCCAATCCGTGTACACTTTTGATTCCTCCTCTTTCTCGTTCTGCAGCATGCCGTGCTGCCGTTGGCTGTGTTTTGACAACACAGTCTGGTCAATCTGACTGTGAGACGGTGTGCTGGTAGGTGGGTGGAGTCCTCATGTCCTCCCTCCCACACTCGCACATGTCTCTGTCACTCGCCGCATGCTCCTACGTTCTCCCCATCACCCGGCAGTGTTTGGATGAGGTGCATCGGCTGGTGGACTGAGACGGTGTGCTAGTGCAGTCCGCGTTGCCTCCCTCTCACACATCCACTTTTTATGTTCCCACGAATGATCCCACACTCCCACTTCTCACTGCGTACCCTTACCTTCCCTCCCTCCCTCCATGGCCCATCAGTGTTTGGAGGAGGCGCATCGGCCGGTGGACCGTGAGGCAAGTGCAGCCGTCATCGCCGCAACTCTTAAACACATATCGCTCCACACTGTCACTGTGCACCCTGCCTTCCGCCCTCACCTCCTGGCAGTGTTTGGAGGAGGCGCATCGGCCGGTGGACCGTGAGGCAAGTGCAGCCGTCATCGCCGCAACTCTTCAACACATAACGCTCCACACTGTCACTGTGCACCCTGCCTTCTGCCCTCACCTCCTGGCAGTGTTTGGAGGAGGCGCATCGGCCGGTGGACCGTGAGGCAAGTGCAGCCGTCATCGCCGCAACTCTTAAACACATAACGCTCCACACTGTCACTGTGCACCCTGCCTTCCGCCCTCACCTCCTGGCAGTGTTTGGAGGAGGCGCATCGGCCAGTGGACTGTGAGACGGTGGGCAAGTGGATTCTCAAGAACAGCGCTGAGTCAGAAAACATGAACTGGTATGAATGAGGCATTCAAAAGTATCATTCTCGCTCGCTTTCTGCGTGCTCTAAGTATATCTGCTTGTTTTTTATTTCCCGCTTTGTTTTTTGGCATGTTTTCTAGTGCGCGTCAAGCTCTTGTGCTGTCTAGTGCGCGTCAAGCTCTTGTGCTGTCTTACTTCCCTCCTAACCCCGACCGCACCTGCCCTCCAATCCTCAACCCGCCCCTGGCAGGATCCTGGCGAATTCCAAGTCGTGTCCCAAGTGCAAGCGGCCCATAGAGAAGAACCAGGGGTGCATGCACATGACCTGCACGCCGCCCTGCAAATACGAGTTCTGCTGGTGGGTCCCCCGCCCCGCTCTGCTCTGCTCTGCTCTGCTCTGCTCTGCGCGTATCTCATTGTGCTGGTTCGCAAGCTTGTGTGGGTGTGTAGAGGCAGGGAGAAGAGCAGAGCTGCTTGCTGGAAAGGGCGTAGTTGCAGCTGCACAACACCTACTTTTCCTCCTCATGCTGTATTGTGCGCCTGTGCTGCTGCTTCCTTGCCTTTTGCTGAGCTGCCCTTGCTGAGCTGGAGCGCTGCACTGTTGGAATCTAATTGGCCCGTGCTTCACCATTGTCACAATCGTGCTCTCATCCTCCTCCTCACCTCACCTTCCCCCACTCCCTCCCCCCCACCACCCCCCTCACCCTCCAACTCACCATGCCTCTCGCCCAGGCTGTGTCTAGGGTCGTGGACGGAGCACGGGGAGAAGACGGGGGGATTCTACGCATGCAACCGATACGAGTCAGCCAAGCACGAGGGCGTGGTGAGCTGCCCGCCCCTACTGATACCCTCCCCCACCCCCCCTTCGCCTTCTCCCCTCCTCACACAAACACACCTTTCCTCGCTTTCCTCCCCCCTCTGCCTGTCTTCCTGCAAGGCAGTGACTCTGCCATAAAAGAGCGTTTTATGCTCTCTGGTCGTTTTCCGGCGCTTCTGTGTTTTGCCTCTTCTCGTGCCTACTATTTACCATAAGTGGCCTTGCACACCCACCATCCCGCTGAGTGCACTCTCATCTCCATCCCCGTGATTTGACTCCCCCCCCCGTCCGTCCGTGATGCTTCCCTGGGTGTGCTGCTGGCAGTACGACGAGACTGAGAGGCGGAGGGAGATGGCGAAGAACTCTCTGGAGAAGTACACCCACTACTACGAGCGCTGGGCTGCTAATGAACAGGTGCGGTGCGAGGGGGCATGGGAGGGATCGTGTGGTGCGGAGGAGGAATGTTGGGCTGCCAATGAACAGGTATGGTGCGAGGGAGAGGGCATAGGCAGTGCGCAGGTAGGTGGCAACCCTTTTAGAGGGAGGAGGAGTGGGGGTTATGGGAGGAGTGGGGGAGTGGGGGGGAGATGGCGAAGAACTCACTGGAGAAGTACACGCACTACTACGAGCGCTGGGCGGCTAATGAACAGGTGGGTGGCAACGGGCAGGTGGGATTGGAGGGACAAACAAGCAGGTGCGGGCAATGAACGGCAATGAGTAACAGAGGGGGCGCTGGGCTGCGAACGAGCAGGTGGGGTGGGAGGGGGCGTGAGGGTGGTGATAAGGAGGAGGAGAGGAGAAGCACACCCACCATTACGAGCGCTGGGCTGCCAATGAGCAGATGGTGTGGGAGGGACGAACCAAACCAACCAACACGATTTTTATTCGATGACAGAAAGTTGTAACCAGAATGAGGTGCTTGAATTGAATGACTGGCGCCAGATGCTTTTGCTTTGTGAATCTACCCACAAGCATGGTACATGCATCCGCTTACGCACTCTGTCTCCTCCCACTCCCGCTCTCCCCTGCCATGCGTGCTGCTGCCCCTTCAGTCGAGAGTAAAGGCGCTTGAGTCGCTGCGGGAGATGCAAACAGTCAAGGTATGGCATGGGGTAGCCTGAATGATTGTTTCGAAACAGTCAAGATAGCGGAAAGCTAAGACAACGCGGCATGCTTCGTTGCCTGCTCTTTGCGGTTTTTTTTTTTTTTTTTTTTTTTTTTTTTTTTTTTTTTTTTTTTTTTAAGGGCTGGTTGCCTGAGATGTGGCAGTGCCGTGATAGTTCCCTTCTTGTTCTCCACTGCCCGGGTGTGCTGTCGTGCGGTGTGGTGTGCCGTGGGCCGTGGGCTGTGCGGTGGGATGTGATTGGGGTGTGCATGGTGGGGTGCTGTGCCGGCATGGCAGATAGAGCAACTGAGTGAGCGCCACAGCCAGCCCGTCTCACAACTCAAGTTCGTCATCGACGCATGGCTGCAGGTGAGTCATCGACGCATGGCTGCAGGTGAGTCATCGACGCATGGCTGCAGGTGATTCCTCCTACCCGCCTCATGCATGGCAGCAGGTGAGGATGCACACAATCAGAATGCTCCCTTCCTCACAACCATTGCTTCCGTCTGGCATGTCTGGCCCTTTGCACTCGTATCCCCCCTTTCGCCCCACCACATCAGGTGGTGGAGTGAGGCGGCGAGTGCTCAAGTGGACATATGCCGACGGCTACTACCTGCCGGAGGCAGAGGTGGTCACATGAAACCTCAGCACCCCCTTGCTCCCTCTCTCCTTTCCTCGCCAGGTGGTGGAGTGCAGGCGAGTGCTCAAGTGGACATATGCCTACGGCTACTACCTTCCCGAGGCCGAGGTGGCGAGGAGGCAGTTCTTTGAGTACCTGCAGGGCGAGGCGGACGCAGCCTTGTGTGCCACAGCAGACCCTCTTCACTCGTTTGCTCCATTCGCCCTTCCCCCTGGTGGTCACGTGCAGGTGGTGGAGTGTCGCAGAGTCCTCAAGTGGACGTACGCCGCCTATGGCTACTACCTTCCGGAAGCAGAGGTGGTCACATGAGACCCTCCCCACCTCACTCGTTTTGCTCCTTTCGCCTCTCCTCTGCCACACCAGGTGGTGGAGTGTCGCAGAGTCCTCAAGTGGACATACGCCTATGGCTACTACCTACCAGAGGCGGAGGTGGCGCGGAGGCAGTTCTTTGAGTACCTGCAGGGCGAGGCGGACGCGGCGCTGGAGAATCTGCACAAGATGGCTGAGAAGGAGCTGGAGCTCTACATCTGTGACGACGGCGACCCGCCCCCGACGTCTTTTAACGACTTTCGTTCACGACTGGCAGGGCTCACCAGGTGAGAATGGTGTGGTGAGCAGAGGGTGGTGGGTGTGAGTGTGGGAGAATCTGCACAAGGTGGCTGAGAAGGAGCTGGAGCTCTACATCTGTGATGACGGGGACCCGCCCCCTTCTTCCTTCAATGACTTCCGGTCACGACTGGCAGGGCTCACCAGGTGAGGGAGGTGCGGGTTAGTGAGCAGTACGAGGTGTGTGAAGAAAGCAGGGGCAGATGAGGCACGGGAGCACAAGATGGCTGAGAAGGAGCTGGAGCTCTACATCTGTGACGATGGGGACCCGCCTCCCACCTCGTTCAACGACTTCCGCTCGCGACTGGCGGGATTGACCAGGTTAGTGGGAAGGGGCGGTATGCAGTGTGGATGGGCGAGAATTGGTTCGGTGAAGCTGGTTAGAAGGCTGTGGTACGCTGTGGTAGGTGGCCTTTTAGATTCTTTTGAAGAGTGGATGCCTGTTTAGCTGAGACGATTCTTCAGGCGCAAATAAAACTGGCGTCGATTAATGTTTGGGTGAGAAGGGAAAGTGACAAGGGGAGAAGAAAGGTGTATAAACAGGGGAGATGGGTTGTGCGACCATCACTCTCACCAATCCAGCACTGCCTCCATCCCTCCCTCCCTCCGTCCCTCCGTCCCTTCCACCTTCCACCTTCCCCGCCCCCTCTCTCTGCACTGTGACACACACGTACATTGAGAACCTAGTGAGGGTCCTCATTTCTTCCTTCCCTCCCTCTCTCTCCCTCCCTCCCCACTTCTCCCCTTCCACCCCCCGCCCCCGCCCCCCAGTGTGACGCACACATACTTTGAGAACCTAGTGAGAGCGCTCGAGAACGGATTGGCAGATGTCGAGAACGCCTCTACAGCGGCCTCTTCCACCCGCGCCGCTGCCGCCGCCGCCGCAGCAGCAGCAGGCCGAGCCATCGCCAGCACCTCGCGCATCTCACAGTCCCGCTTCGGTGCGCGCACCCGCTCCCGTACCACTGCCGCTTCCGCCGCCGCCGCTTCTACCTCTGCTGCTGGCTCGTCTGCTGCAGGCCCGAGTGGTTCGTCTGCGGGAGCAGCAGCAGCGGGTGGTGGTGGGGGTGCGGGGTCGAGCCGCGGGAGTATTTTCCGGTCGTCGTCGTCTCAAGCGGCCGCTGCGGCGGCAGCGGCGGCAGTGACGGTGGGGAATACGGGAGGGAGGGATCGGGAAGAGACGGCGTATTGGTCGTGTGAGCACTGCACGTATGCGAACCCGTTGCCCGGCCGGGCGTGTGCCATGTGCCATCTGCCACGCAGCACCCGGTGACCTGGGATTTGTGGGGAGATTGCTTCGTTGGGCTGCGCCGCCAAGCCAACCATGTACGGTAGCATTTGATGCAAAATGATGTAATAGTGCTAACAAGCTGGTGTAGCATAGTCTGCCTTCCATGGTGTAATCCCTTTCTGACAGTGTCAATGACTAGGTGATGGTTGAGCTGGGTGGTTTCAGATAAAGAATGCTGCAGTTCTTAGCGGCATATGTATTCGTACTTGGTTGTTCTGTAGTATAGTAAGTGATTACAGATCCCTACCACATTTATTGTGTCGAGGATAACCTTCAGCGTGTCGACCTCCGATTCGCTGGAATGCAGAATGAACGAGGACCTCAAATGCGCCATTGAATGTGCGGCTCCGCTCGTCCTTCCAGTTGCCATTTTCGACAGTCACATTGGTGGTTCGGCTTCTTTGTTTCCCGTCGGTCTGCCCAGAGCAAGTTCTGAAGCTTTCTGCATCAATCCGAGAACAAAGAAACCGTAGAAAGTGGGTCTGTCGAGGTACTTCCGTCATCTCTTGTCGGAAATGAAGGCAAATGAACGTCTAGAAAGTGAATGTCGGTCCGCCCTAAACAGTTATGCTTGTGCTCCCATCAGCCCTCATTCCCTCTCGCCTCACCACCACCAGAAAATCCATTCTGCTGCTGCTCTCGTGATTGATACAGCATAAGCAAGACTGGCATTGCTTCTGTACTCCATTCATATCTCCTGCATAAGCAAGACTGGCATTGCTTTCTCTTCCATTTCCTACCTCGCCCTTGCGACTCTCCCGTTAGCCCGCTGCACTGCGCCGGATCATTTTAAGGGGTCAACGGGAGTGTCTTAGTCGCGGAACAAGCCCATCGTGTTCTTAACGGTCGTGTTGCGGTCGAAGTACCACTTTTGCCAGATGGCCTCCTCGACGAGCCTCTGCAGCCGAGGCGTTTTATTTCCTGGGACCGCACGACGGACTGATTCCGTTCCGATTACGGAATCCGTCACAGAACTGCCGGTTTCAAATCTCAAGTGCGACGGCCTGAGATGCTCGCTGCACGGCAAATCTTCTTCCCTAAAGGTCGCCGCGGTTGAGAGACGGAAGGCTACCAAATCACGAGTAGCGAGCGCGCGAGCGGCGGCGGCAGGAGGCGCAACGGGCTCAAGCGCGGACACAGTAAGAAGAAGCAGCGAGGCGAAACCAGCCATTCGGCCCGTGGTCATTCTCCCGGTATGCCCCATTGTTGGAGGTTGGTTCGCGTGATTGACCCATCACTCATGCCCCCTGCTCCCTGCTCCATGCTCCATGCTCAGATGCGGCATCCGCGTACACGCCAATCCCATTCAACATCGCTGCCATATGCTCTTCAATAGGGCCACGAATTTCGCATCCACGCCTGTCCGCGAGCCCCGAATGCTCCGCTATATGCTGCTTCCCTTCCCATCCACTCGACATCTGCGTACGCGCGAGCAGGGATTGGGCAACAACTCGGCGGATTACGCGGAGCTCGTCGCGCTGCTGGAGGCGCAGGGCGTGGCGGCGGAGGTGGCACGCGTGGCGAGACCTGATTGGCTGCGGAACGCCGCGGGGCTGCTGCAGGCAGACTACTGGAAGGGAACGCTGAAGCCCCGCCCGATCCTCGACTGGTGGGTGGGTCGCTGGGCTGGTCCGGTTCGAGCCTGAATCCGGTTCGTGGTGAATTGGTAGGGCATATGACACGGCTGATGGTTCCAACGAATGCGTCCCGCACGTCTCTTGGAGCGCCTGCTCCGCGTTTTGCGTTTAGCGTTCCCCTCGGTGCACCTGTCCGTGTGCTGTGCCTGTGTATTTCTGTTCTCGTGCGTAGCTCTCTTGCCGTCTGACGTGGCCTGTCTGTCCTGTCTCTCGCTCTACCTGGCGGGCCCGCAGGTACTTGGAGCGGGTGGCCGCAGCTGTGGAGGCCGCCAAGAAGAGAGTCCCAGGTGATTCTTCAGATGCACTGCACTCCCTCACTCACAATCACTCACTCACGATCAAATTCTACCCTTTCCGCCCCATACCATGCATGCACATCCATTTCCAACATTCATTCTGTAATCCAACCAGCAGTCAACCTCCATCCCTTCTATCCCCACTATTCCCCTTATCACCCCTGTCCCTTCTATCCCATCTATCCCATCTATCCCCTCTATCCCCTCTATCCCCTCTATCCCCTCTATCCCATCTATCCCCTCTATCCCCTCTATCCCCTCTATCCCCTCTATCCCCTCTATCCCCTCTATCCCGTCTATCCCCTCTATCACCCCTGTCCCCTCCCCTCTATACCCTCTGTTCCCTCTATTCTCTCTACCCTCTCCCCACCTCTCGCATTCCAATCCCCTTCAACCCGCTCCCTCCCCCTTCACCATCAGGCTCCCCCCAGGTGTCGCTGGTGGCGCACTCAGCAGCCGTGCGGCTGGCCCTCTGCCTCGCTGTCTACCCGCTACCCCTTTCCCCCCTTGCACCCTACCTCCTTTCCCCTCATGCTCTGCCTTTCAGGTGCCTCCCAGGTGTCGCTGGTGGCGCACTCAGCAGGCGGGTGGGTGGCACGCCTCTACCTCGCGGAGTACGGCCATGCTGACGTGGCGCTGCTGCTCTCCCTCGGCTCGCCGCACCTGTGAGTGTGTGGGGGGCACGAGTGAGTGTGTGGGGGGCACGAGTGAGTGTGTGGGGGGCACGAGTGAGTGTGTGGGGGGCACGAGTGAGTGTGTGGGGGGCACGAGTGAGTGTGTGGGGGGCACGAGTGAGTGTGTGGGGCACGTGCGAATGTGTAGTGCATCGTGGCATGGCATGTGGCTGGGACGACGAGGGTGAGGCTATGTTGGGCTGTCCAGTTTGCAGACCTGTGATGGGTTGGGATGGGATGGAATGGGATGGGATGGGATGGGATGGGATGGAATGGGATGGGATGGGATGGGATGGGATGGGATGGGATGGGATGGGATGGGATGGGATGGGATGGAATGGGATGGGATGGGATGGAATGGGATGGGATGGGATGGGATGCACAATCCTTGCAAACATGCAGCATATGGCCATGTTAACCATTGCCCCCTGGCCTCTGCATTCCACTCTTGACTCTACCCCACCCCACCCCTCTTTCTGAAACCACACTTTTCTCTGTTCCCAAATCTTTCAACTCTCTGTCCTCTCAATGCTAGCCCTAACTTTCTTCTCCCCAGCCCCTTCTTCCCCTTCCCTCCGCGTCCCCTCCCACCAGCCCACCGCCCCCAGGGGCACAGGGGGTGGAGGATCAGACGAGAGGCCTGTTAACGCACATGCAGGCCGTCTCGCCAGGCCATGTCGATGGTTGCTCTTGAACAGTCCTTCTTCTCTCCCTCCCTCTCCATTGCACCATTACCCCTACCCCTCCCATTGTTTTTTCCCGCCCCATGTCTGCTCCCACCAGCCCACCGCCAGCAGGGGCAGAGGGGGTGGTGGATCAGACCAGGGGCCTGCTCACGCACATGCAGGCCGTCTCGCCAGGCGCCTTCCACGCACCCCATGTCAAATACGTCTGCGTCTCGGGCAGGTGAGGCTTTTTTTCCTTGGGCGGGTGGGATCCGCCTGCCACCAGCCCAAATTTCCTTGTAGTGCGTTCTTTATGCAGGCTGGAAACTTCTAGATTCGGCTGAACCCCCCTTTTTTTTTTCTGGCCCCGTCTCCTCTCTAGCTTGCCTAACCTTTACCCATCACCTCCCCACATCTCCACGGTCCACCCACCCATGCAGGTACATCAAGAGTGTAACCATGCTTGCAGGTATATTGCTTTGCTCATCGCCTTCTCCCCACATCCCCACCCACCCACCCATGCAGGTACATCAAGGGCTTGCCCCTGTTCGGAAGCCCTGCTGCGGCACCTACAACAGCCGCAGCAGTCTCTGCACCAGCAGCTGTGGCGGCAGCAGCAGCAGGGGGGGAGGCGCGTGTGTTTGCCCTGGATGTGAAACCAGTGGGGGGCGCAGCAGCACAGGCAACTGGTGGGCCAAACTCAGAGTTCGAGAGTGATAGAGAGAGTGGGGAGGGCAGCAGCAGGGTTTCAGATGAAGAGAGTGAAGAGGCTGTTGCTGGGGGGCAGGTGGAGGTGGCATCGGGGGGAGGTCTGTTGCAGGCGCGCATGGTGGGGCAGGGGTACAAGCAGGTGTGCGGGCGGGCGGAGGTGTGGGGGGACGGAGTCGTGCCGGAAGATGCCGCCCTGCTGGAGGGAGCGGAGAATCTGATATTGGACGGCGTGTATCACTCGCCTGTGGGGGCCAGTGAGGCCCGGCCGTGGTACGGCTCTCCCTCCGTGCTGCCCTCGTGGCAGCACCACCTGTTGGTCTGAGCTGGCATACCGTAATTACCCGGGTAATGGACTCTAGGAAGCGGAAGTGGTGATCACTAGGAATGGAGGGATACAATTACCGTATGAGTGTCGAGAAGAGTGTTATACTCTATACCAGCTGCCTCATTGTAGCCTACATATCTAACAATTATACAAATATAGTGTCAGAATAAGGAAACAGTGATGATTGACTAAAGCAGGATGAGTGGGGGACAACAAGGGGTCACAAGACCAGTCAAGAGAAGAAGCAAAGCAAAACAAAGCTCAGGGTGGATCCCAAGATCACCACGCATTCTGAGCACAAGCAAGCGGCCACAAGGCCAGTTCACATGCAGAGTTTATAATAGCAAGAGCAGTACACTGATCACTACCTAGCAAGTGTAAGCATGCAGTTATACTCATATATATCAGTGTACAACAAGAGCAAGATCAAGAGACAAGCAAGTGAGGCAGAGTGGGCACAAGCCCAAGAGCAGTGCAGAAACGCTGATGATCACTAGACCCAAGGGCCTTGGTGAAGACATCAGCAGTGTTGGCCCGTGTGGCCACGTAAGCAAGACGAAGCTGACCACGCTGCTGCAACTCTCGCGTGAGGAAGTAACGGAGAGCAATGTGCTTCGTTCTGTGCTCCAGTCTCTGGTCCTGACACAAGGCAATCATGGCCTTGTTGTCGACGTACAGAACTGGAGGAGAACGAGGCCGCTCACCCAAGTCGGTCAGCAGGTAGGTCAGCCAGCGGAGCTCCTGTGCAGCCATAGCCCCAGCGTAGATCTCGGCCTCACAGCTGGAACTAAGTACAGAAGAAGAGCGAGTGGACCTCCACGAGACAGAACCAGCGCCGAGGCTGAAGCTGTACCCCTGTGTCGACCGGTGAGTCGTGTGGTCGTCAGCCCAAGAAGTGTCTGAGTAACCGGTGAGAATAACTGAACCCGGTCCTCCAAGCACGAGCCCCATGCCCGATGTACTGCACAAGTAACGCAATACCCTCTTCGCAGCATCCCAGTGCATCTTTCGATGCCTACCGGGAGCCACGTAGCGAGCCAGAAGGCTGAGAGGGTACGCGAGGTCAGGTCGTGTGCACGTCATCAGGTACATGAGGCAACCCACAAGCTCTGGGTACGGACCACTCGGCTCTATGGACTCGTCCGAAGGTGGAGCTGAGAGCGAGTGGCCGGTAGACAGATGAGTGGGTTGTGGCGAGGACCACGTGAAGTCGAAGCGCTGAAGGACCTGCTGCACCATGTGTGAATGAGTGAGGGTGATGGTGCGACGTGCTCTGTCCCGGGTGATTTGCAAGCCAAGATAGCTCCGCAGCTCACCCAGGTCAGTGCAAATGTGTCTCTCCTGCAGCTCCGCCTTCACCAAGGCCAGAGCCTCAGTGTCAGCAGTAGCAAAAACCAAGTCGTCGACGTACACGAGGATGTAGAACGCCGGCAGAGTAGTGTCAGTGCGCAGAAACAGCGAAGGGTCAGCAGTCGAGGGAGCGAAGCCAAGAGCCGCAAGTGTAGTCCTCAGTGTGTCGTGCCACTCGCGGGGTGCCTGTCGGAGGCCGTAGACTGGTTGCCGAAGACTCCACTGGGTGCCCTCAGGAAACGACCCAGTGAAGCCACGTGGACGGCGCAACCAGATAGCCTCGTGAAGGCTACCCTGCAAGAAGGCTGTCGAGAAGTCGATGGAGTGCAGCTCGTAGTCGCGCTGTGCTGCAACGTGCAGTAGCACCCGAAGAGTGGTCATCTTCGGGGTGGGGGAGAAGGTCTGGAAGAAGTCAACCCCCTCACGCTGACTCAAGCCTCGTGCAACGTAACACGCCTTGAAGACAGGCGGAGAACCCGGCGGCCGCTTCACCCTGAAAATCCACATGCCATCGGCTATGTTCGCCCCAGGTGGGGGAACCTCGTCGACGTAGGTGCCTGTGGACTTCCAGGAAGCCATCTCTGCGTCCATGGCTGTCTGCCACTGAGAGGAGTACGCCCCCGTGATCGGCTCTGCGTAAGTGCGCGGGGTCGGGATGTCCAGTGCATCAGGGTCTCCCTCAGGGCAGAGTAGCGTGGACGCGAGATGAGGTGCAGCTCCCGCTAGGCACTCCAGCTCAAACTGCCTGTCCTCAAACGTCACAGCCAAGGGCATGCTCACCCCCGACGGACGGAGGACAGGAAGAGTCAAAAACAAGACTCGCAGCGTAGTCAAGGCGGCACAAAGCAGCAAAGTAAACAAGCTCAGCAACTAAGGCAGACGTAGCAGCAGACTCAAAGGAAGGGTCAGTCACAACTGTGGCAAGGAGACGAGTGGCAGTCGGACTAGCAGCACGGACAAGGTCTGACCCAGGGTCAAGAACGTGAGGAAGAGAAGACGCAGGAGGAGACGATAGGACAACACGCTGGGGAACAGAGGAAGGACGAAGTGCCATACGGTGAGTGCCTGGCACAGCTGGAGTACGAGGACGGACAACACGACGACCGCGAACAGGAGTGGGAGCACGAGTCTCAGGAGTGGAAGCACGAGTCTCAGGCTCACGATGCGCAGTCAGGGACGCAGTCACCTCACTGTGAGGAGCAGGAGCAGGCAACGGGGAGCCAAGCAGCAGCTGTGGCTGAGACTGGTCAGTCGGTGGGAACAGTAACGGGGGAGTAGTACCAGGAACCGGGAACTCAGTAGCAGCAGGCGGGAGACTGAGAAGGCGACAAAGCGCAGACGGCTGCGGCTGAGTAGTCGCACCCCCAGAACCTCCAGCTCCAGTAGCAACAGCACCCCCAGAACCACTGTCTCCAGCTCCAGTAGCAACAGCACCCCCAGAACCAGTGCCTCCAGCTCCACCACCGGGACTGCCCCAACGAACAGCCCACTCGCGAAGCTGCAGCGGCGAGAGCGACTCCAGCTGACTAGCACCACCAACTCCAGGACCTCCAACAGCACCTCCAGTAGTACCTCCAGTGCCAGCACCTCCAGCAATACCTGCACCTCCAACACCTCCAGCAGCGCCTGTGCCTCTAGTACCAAGAACACCATCACCAGCACCTCCAGGGCTAGCACCTCCAGAACCTGAACCTCTAGCACCTCCAGCAGCGCCTGTGCCTCTAGTACCCGGAACACCAGCACTAGCACCTCCAGGGCTAGCACCTCCAAAACCTGCAGCTCCAGCACGTCCAGCGCGACCACCAGGACTGCCCCAACGGACAGCCCACTCGCGAAGCCGCTCCGGCGAGAGAGACGCCTGGCGACGTGAGCCAGGACTACCCACAGCAGCACCCACAGTAGTAGCACCTCCAGTACCTCCAGCTTCAGGAGAGCGAGCACGGGTAGCTCCACCACCAGGGTTGCCCCACTGTACAGCCCACTTGCGAAGCCGCTCCGGCGAGAGAGTCGCCCGCCGACGTGCACCAGTGCCACCAGTACGAGGAACCCTAGTACCACCAGTAGCAGAACCTCCAGCTCCAGCAGTGCCAGTACCTCCAGCTCCAGTAGTCCCAGCACCTCCAGCTCTAAGACGGCTAGCTCCACCACCAGGGCTGCCCCACTGGACAGCCCACTCGCGTAGCCGCTCCAGCGAGAGAGCCTCCTGCCGACTCGTAGCAGGACCACCAGCACCAGTACCTCCAGTGCCTCCTGTACCCAGAGGACACTCAGCACCCCTAGAAGGCCAGAGGAGAACTCTCCACCTCTGTCAGAGTGCAGACGCTGAACAGGAAAGTCCGAGCCGAAGCTCTGCCTGAGCTGGAGACGAGCTGCGCGGATCCAGTCGATCAACACCTCAGTGACATCACCCTTGCTGCGCAAGGGGAAGACTGTGGTGTAACGCGAGTAGTCGTCAACCACCAGCAGGAAGTAGCGCTCGTGACCCTGTCCACGGACGCGGGCCGGGCCCCACACGTCCATGTGAAGCGTCTGCAGCGGGGCCTCTGTCGGAGGAAACTGGGAGGAGTGAGGGGCAGCCCGCTGCCGCCCCTCGACACAGGGGACGCAGGTAGGGCCAGGCCCCGGAGGAAGGGGAGGGAGGGACCGGGGAAGACCAGAGACAAGGACACGGGAGGCCATGCTTCGGAGACGAAGCAGGGAGGGGTGACCAAGGCGGTGGTGCCAGAGGAGAGTCTCGTGAGACAGGAGGCGACACGAACAGGGGGCAGACTCAGGACCAGACCTGGACGCTGCAGCAAACACCTGACCCGACGCAGCTACCTGACCAGACGCAGTGACTGGAGGAGACGCAGTGGTCAGGGTGTACAGGCTCGACCCCGGCCGACGGGTAAACGTGGCCAGGTGTCGGCCTGTCCGAGCGTCCGTGCAGTGGGTCACCCGCCGACTCGCAGGAGTGAACTGGTGAACCCCCGCATCCTGTAGGTCAGCACCACTCACCAAGTTCGTAGAGAACGAGGGAAGGTAAAGACCAGACAGGGTGCCAGAGGGGGCCGCCGGACACGGGAGGACAGTGGAGAAGTGAGCAAGGTCAGGACCCCCAGAGGGGTCTGCCAGAGAGACTGCAACTGGCCGGCTAAGCGGCGTGAGTGTGGTGCGGTCTCGAAAGAAGGAGCGAGAAGCCCCCGAGTCAAGGGTGAAGGTGTGGGAGGCCGAAGCCGACGCAGAACCTGAGAGAGCAGACGCACCAGCACCTGAGGGAGCAGACGCACCTAGAGCAGCAGCCTCACCAGTACCTAGAGCAGCAGTCTCAATGCCCGGGTCGGGCGGAAAACACCGGTAACAGTCACCCTCATCACTAATAGTCACAGTATACATGGCAGCAAGAATAGCATCAAAGTCAAGGTCAAAGACAGCCACACCCGCCCTAGACAGCTCACCCCAGCGGGGGATCTCAGTGGCCTCAGGGAACTGGTGACGCCAAGCGTCCGTCAGGCGGCCAAAGCAGCGCTGGGTGGAGTGCGCACCCCCGCACTGCTCACCCGCGCGGTCGCCGGTGCGGAGGACGTAGGTGCACGGACCAGTACCCCCACCCCTCTGGCGTGCAGTGTACCACTCACGGAGCTGCTGAGGGGAGGGGATGTCACGAG